AGGATCCAATAAGTGGGTTGTTGCATTTGTATCAAGGTGGCACGAGTTTACAAAGCAGACGACCACTATAAAATTGGTATAAAGAGGATCAAAGTTTTGTGGTGACTAACCCTTCGCTTTTTCACAGAGGACGTGCAGTTATTAATGTCACAGTTAGTAACTCTGAAAAATATAAGATTGGTCTTACGTTGTGACGGAAGGGTAAAAAATGGGCTCAAAAGTTTTGAAAAGCTGATTTTTTAAAAGTAAACCGCTCTTAAAGATATGGTGGTGGCCAGGAGGTTTGGGGTATCATTGACTTGTTGCAAAATGTTAAGTATATTATTTGTGTGATTTTTTTGAGTTATAATAATTAATTAAAAATTTTATTAAAACTGAAGTATGTAAATTGATCAATGATCTTCATGTAAAAAAAAACAACAACTTAAAACCGAAATCTCTACACGGCAAAAAACTTAATGGGGTGAAATAATACTTTAGGCTTTTAATTTTTCGGTCCAATGGGTCAAGTTTTTAATTCACAGATGTAGGAGTGCAATATAATGGTTTCCCCCTTGTATTTACAACTCTAAAACTATGATATAATGGGTTCCCGTTTTTGTATTAAGGTGCTATGAATTTTTCTGATGAGCAATTATCAAAATAAGGGGCAAGTCACCTTTTCATAAATACAATAATCTGCTATACTGCAACCTTGGGACTGCAAACACAATTATCCTTTGTTGGGGACATTCGTTAAAATTGAAACGATTCATAAAAAATTGTCATGATCCCTGCACATAAACATAAAAAAATATGTCTGCCCATGAACGAGATACATGCCAAAATGCCCGTAAAAGACATGGGTAAAGAGGAATGCTCCTTTGAGACAAAAATCATATGTTGAATACTTCTCATGTCGGCTGGACCTGTCATTTTTGCAATATACCGGTGCTGGTTACTATTGCAATGTTGCAAAACATCTCGATAGTTAACGACTTTCCCAAGGCCTAATGATTGATATTTGCCCCTACCAACCTAGGTCATCGTTTCGTTTCCCCCCCCAAAGCTTTTGGAGGGGCAAGCAAGATCATTTTTTTTATTATTATTATTATTATTTTTTTTTTTTCTCTCTCTCTCTCTCTCTCTTTATGGTTAGCATCACTCGTGCACAAGGATAATGGACACAAATCGAGAAATATACTTTCCAAATACGATATACGTCAAAATGCCCTAAAAAACGTGGATAAAATGAAATTCCCCTCTGACACAAAAATCCTTTATAAAATACCTCTCATGTTGACCGGAACTATCATCTTTGCAATATACCCTTTACAATATATCACTCAAACTTTGTGAAATATCATAACACTTAAGCCACCACTACCCTCGCGGTCATAAATTAGGGGGCCCAGTAGCACAGGTCCATGAGGGCTATCGGTAGCACAGTGGGGGGAACTGGTGAAGTGGCAAAATTAAAAAATACGTTGAATCGACCCCGCGATTTATTTTGCAGTTAAAATTATTATTATTATTTTTTTTTAAATATTTTTTTTTTATAAAGATCGCGAAAAAATTTATGGATCCGCAAATTTTCAAAGTTGTGGAGTTATCCTTCTGAGCGCAAAAAATCACAAAAGTTGGGTTACTTTTCTCGTTGACCCATACGTAGTAGTGTAGCAAAAATGAAAAATGTGACAAAACGGCGCGATATTTACTTCACGCTTTTTTTTTTTTTTTATATAATTTTTTTGATATTTTTCTTGGAAAGATTACGACCTCATCTACTGTTGCCTGCGCCTATCGGTTGGAATTCAAAAAAAATTATCGGTTGGAATCCAAAAAAAATTCAAGCGCGAACTTTAACTATTTTTTGTGCTAAAAAATTGACCAAAAAAATCTGAAAATTTGAGATCGGATTTGCCTGCGCCTATCGGTTGCCGCCCCCTATAATTTTTTTGAATTTTTTTTGGATCGGACCTGCCTGCGCCTATCGGTTGCCGCCCCCTCTAAAAACCCGGTCCGTAATGGTAGAAAAGTTTAATCTAGGTCAACGAGGGTAGTGGTGGCCTAACAACTTTCCCAATTCAAGAGTGATATTTACTCCTACTGGCTAAGGTCATCTTTTCATTCCCTCCCCCCAAACTCTTGGAGGGACAACTAGGACCACTATTTTTTTATTTTTTTTATTTTTTTTTCTCTTTTTGTGGTTAGCATGACCCTTGCTCAAGGATGGTACACACAAATTGAGAAATGTACCCCCCAACTACGAGATATACGTAAAATGTCCCTAAAAAATGTAGGTAGAGGGACTGCCACTCTAACAAAAAAATTCCTTTGTGGAATACCTCTCCTGTTGGTCAGACTTGTCATCTCTGCAATATACCCGTATTGGGTACCACTCCAACTATGCGAAATAACTCAGTACTTGCCAACTTTCCTAAGGCCCAATTCATATGTACCCCAACTGATCGAGTTCATATTTTGATTTTGCCTCCCAAACCCTTGAAGGCTCAAACATGACTACCATCTCTCTCTCTCTCTCTCTCTCTCTCTCTCTCTCTCTCTCTCTCTCTCTCCCCCCCCCCTGTGTGTGTGTGTATTGTCATATTCACTACATACTAAAAGAAAACACGACTGTGTGAGAATGTTTCGTCGGACTTTCACCGACTCATTAGAAGGTGTGTGTGTGTGTGTGTGTTGGAACGAGGTATGATAGTTTTGAAATCGGGTGTCTTATTCCATCAACCCAGACATTTCACAAAATTGCCCACCCAGCGGGGGGCAAACGAGATGAAAACCAATGCAAGTCTGATCGTATGGGGCATGGTCTAAAATGCAAATTTTCATCCCTACCTAACAGGGCCGTATCACAAAGATTTTGGGCCAAAAGGACGGTCCGCTCTTGCCATGTTGTTTAGGGACATTTCGACATATATCTCATCTTTCGGGGTATATAACAAATTATCAAATGGAGAAAAAAAAAAACCCATCATCCGAGGGAATCTAGCGGCCTAGATTGCTTGGTTAGGCACACAAGAGGCATTGAGGAGGTAGTGGGTTCAATCCCCATGGCCACCTGCAGTATGTTTGGTGCCAACCAACTGAGATAGTCATTTGGATCCTTCTGGCCGGTATTAGTAGGGTCTTCAGCCAACACGGGTGTGCGTGCGAGTGTGAGTGGTTTGCGTGTGGTGTGTGGGAAGCTTCTGTTACTTGACGGTAGTGAGGGAGGATGAAAAGGGAGGTGCAAACAAATGCTTGGCCCAACCGATTCAATTACCTTCCAAATCTGGACAAGATGACCTTTCAGGCTTTTTCTTATTATCATTATAGTATTACGGGAACCCCATAGCAGCCACATCCGTGTTCAACGAGGAACATGAGGGAGCAACACCCACTAGCAGATGCGATACCTGCTTTAGCAAGTAGGGGTCAGCCGATAGCATCAGGACCGAGCTTCTTGGATGGGCCAATCGCTGTGCCTCCCCTCTGATCCCCTTCCCCTACCACCATCAGCAGTCTCTCGGGGGGACCAACAACCTATCCCCAGGTGGCAGCTGCCAAAGTTGCCTAGGAGGGTACATGAGGCCAATGGGGATTGAACAGACCTCCAGAGTGCGACTTGTGTTGCCTTACCAATTGAGCCAGGCCATTGGATCAATGCTCGGTCCTTGTGTTAGCCGGGCACCATCAGCGGCCCCAACCCTGCACCCTAAACCACCAGGGCAAGGGGCAAACATGTGATCACCTCCCTACACTGAGAGAGGTAACCTCCCCTTAGAACCCTTAGGAGTAGTGGATGGTAGGTCGTGAAAGATGAAAGTAGTAGTAGGTAGGTCGTGAAAGATGAAAGTAGTAGGTAGGTCGTGAAAGATGAAAGTAGTAGTAGGTAGGTCATGAAAGATGAAAGAAGTAATAGGTAGGTCGTGAAAGATGAAAGATGAACGAATGTAGCTTTTTCTTTTGGGGAATTGCATCTGTACCCCACTTAAAGATAGGAACACCCACTATACCCAGTCCCAGCGCCAACTTGCACCTATACCCGGAAAACTGCTGTGGAAATTATTTGCATACCCAGGACTGAGGTGGACCCAGGCTGGTACAGCAAAATTGCAGTTATAACCAACTACCGGAATGCACAAATTATGGACATACCCAGGCAAAATTATGGGCACACACGGGACTGAGGTGGTCTGGCCAAATTATTCATATACCCTACTACCGGATGGCTGAAATTATGCTCATACCCACGGGGTGGGCATGAGCATAATTTTGTGTTCTGTGATCCAAGGCCCACCCCTGGCGGTGGGTACACCCACAATTTGGCCAGCCCGTTTCGGGGCATGGGCGTAATTTCGCTGCCCGGAACTGACGGCCTGTGGGACAGGGTATGCCTACAATTTCGCACAGGGGAAAAGTCGGGTACTATGCAAAGTTGAACGGGTCCGGGTATAGATGCAAGTTGGTCGCTGGGACTGGCTATAGCGGGTACTATTCCCATCTTTAAGTCGGGTACAGATGCAATTTCCCCTTTTTTAATGGTTCCCGCCTGCACGTACGACCTCGCTGTCCTGCATCTACTCTCCCTGCATGTACGACCTCGCCCCAGGTATTCTTTCTTTGTTTTTAAAAAAATAAAAATAAGAAATAAAATATAATAAAATAAAATAAAAACAAAAACAAAAATAAACTAAAAAATGATTTGTCCTTATGATTACCGGTAGCCGGTCCCAAGGTAACGTAAAACAAACAAGGGCAGACCGCTCGCACTTGAGGAACATCACTTGATTTGCATCGCCAGGTTCGCTGTTCCGGAGTGTAGGCCTACTACCCTCTTCCCATACCACCCTCTTCCCGAGTGTGGGCCTGCTACTCACACTGCGATTTTTTTGCCTGTTTTTGAACCGAATTGCGGCCAGGTACATTCAGGTATGGCCGTCAAAGCGGTCAGATACATTTGAGATACTGCTAGCAGTGTGAGCACGCTGTGACCGTGCGGAGAACCGTTACTGGGGGGGCCGGGCTGCACGGTTAGGACTTGGAGGGGGCAGGTTTGATCTCATGGAGAAGGTAGAGAGAAAGTGACCACGGACAGTCGGAATTGAAGAGGAGCGGATTGAGAAAGAGAGGTGAGTCGTGCTTGCCTGATTATGGGGTGATGAGTGATGGGGTGATCTCTTATACACATCTAGATGTGTATAAGAGACAGGTGTGTGTGTGTGTGAGATATGTTTGTGCTTTAGGGTATATCTGTATCCAGTTTTGACGCGTTTGGACCAGTAACGAAAAAGTTGGCAAAAACACCGAATTCGGAGAAAAGTTCGGTGAGCTGCGAAAGCTACTCCGAAATAGGGTTTTATAGTGCTTTTGAGTTTTTCTTTTTTCGTTTTTTTTCCCTCTATTTTTTTTTTTAATGTTTGTATTATGAGCCTGCATTGTTTGGTCGGGAAATTTTCAACCACATTTCTTGTGGTGATGCGGCAAAAAAAACCCGAATTTTGGGTCTTCCCTTAAACGGATTATGACAGATGCAACACACGACAAAGGCGACACAAGCGGCATGACAATCCAGGGTATTCGTGATTCAGAATATTGTCCCAAGCTTCAGGCAGATGGGAATTGATAAGACAGGCACTGATGTTTCTGGCGCAGTTATAATTCTGCACTATGCTAAACGGAGCAGCCTGGTACTAGATCAGAAGATCTGGTAAACAAATGTGGAGTTACTTCAGGGTGGCAGCAGCAAATAGCACCAGTAATTGAACTGTCTGGTGAACAAATGTGGAGTCGCTTCGCGGCGGCGGCAGCAAATAGCACCAGTCACTATTGACATGCAGAAGTGCATCAAACTGTCATCTTCTTGGTCCAAGCCATCGCTACTATCTGTTTGATAGGTGGGGTTTGCCCAGCACCGTCCTCAGCATGATCTCACAGGTAGCCCACAATGTTTCCCGCCCATATCTTTCAGTGTGATCATCCGTCTTTGAAGTCCAGGTGAGCATGGACCGCGATGATGGCAGGGAGTCGTAGAAGGACATTGAAGACGGGCACATCGCCTAACACATGGACCTTGACTATCTGAGTGGCGACATTCATCATTCGCCCTGCTGCCCAAACTTTTCCTTCGTTTGCGGAAAGAAGGTTTTCTCCGACCCTCCATCTGTATCGGTCCTCGAGAGACTGCCAGTACCGCAGACCCAGTGTTGATTATGGCATTATACAGTCTTCCCCAAACCTCGATGTTGCATTCAGGTGATTTCCAATTGATGGGTCGGATCCACATGAAGTGATCATCCTTGTGAACCAGTCCTATCCGCAGCAGTTTCAATGTGCTGGCTATGGCCTCCTTGAGTGGTGAGGAAGGCTTCGCGGGGCTTTGCCTTTTGATATCGGCTAACTTAGCCATTGCGAACTGTTTCCTGTTAGCTTTTCAGTGCTGTAGCATCCGATCATTAGCGAGCTCAGATACGGACAGAAGGTGCCCGATAGGCAGGGGGGTATGATTATCGAGGGTAAACTAACTCCAATATGTCGATCTCCCCCATCTTAAAGGTCGGGCCTCCTGATTCCATTTCTGTGGGCGTGGGTCTCCATTCCGAGACTTCTTCTGCGTCTGGCGTAGCTAAATCGAACCCGGGATATCCCAGGCTGAGTTACTGATCAACCGGCATCAGTTCGGCGGGAGCCTCTTCGGTGGCTATGGCAGCGGTACTTGTTTCTGTCGTACCCTCGTCAACCACGGCTCCTACCCTCCCAGGACCGTAGGCCACCGGGGCTGCTCGGACTCTAGCTTGCTCTGGGCAGTCGGGAGCTGCTTCAGCTCTACTCTTGCACCATGTGTCCAGGCTGGAGGCAAACGAAACATCCATCTGCTTGAGCAGCCGCCACTGCAGCTGCACCTGGGGGCTGTCCAACAGGCTGGGCGACCGCCAGAGCAACCTGCGCTCTTGTCTGCACCATGCCTGGGCACCACATTGTCGCATCATCGCTTCGATACGAGCGTTGTACTCTTTCTGCTATTTGAGGTTCTCCTGCATCATGGTCATCATGGCCCGTGTGAGTTCCACCTGAGTCTGAGGCTCGGTGAAGCTCACACTCGCCTTGGCGGATGATGATGCTGGTGCGGGGAAAGACGGGAGTGCTGGGGGAGGAGCCGCAGTCTTCGAGGAGGATGGTATGGGCGCTACCTGTTATTGATAAGCGACTGGTCCGGATACAAATCCTATGTCCTTGAATTTGTCCTGTAATGCTGCCAGCTCCGCTTTAGCCCGAGTTAATCCGCTGGACTCACCCTCTTTTACACGATCCTCATTCTCTAGAAAGTGCGCAGCGAACTTCCTTTCCGTTTGTTCGGCTGCCTCCATGATCTGTTGCAGGGTGTGATTGATGGATGAAAACTGCTTTCACAACTTAGCTCTCATCGTACTGCTTCAAAGCCCATCAATGAATAGATCTTGCCCCTGTCGTTCATCTCTTTGAGACTTGCCAAGCAACCAATTAAACCGGCTGCGAAAATCTCGGACTGACTCAAGGGGCTAATCATAAAGAAGGCTTGTTCCGGATATAGATATAGTCAAACCGATCAAGAAAATATTTTTCGAGGTTTGCAGATTGACCCAGGGGTAGTTTTCAAACCAGTGATGTGCCAGCCCTCCCAGCTGGGCAGGAATGCTCATTCTTGCTTCGGTTTCTGAGTCTAGCAAGCCATCCTGCTGGAAGGTGATGCTTCGGCTCAGACAGATAGAGAGTGGGAGGAGGTAAAGGAGGTTGAACTCGGCCCTGGCTCGGATCTGGAGCTTGATTAGTGTTAGCTTGGTTGACATTCATCATAGTGGGGCTATGAGTGATTACGGGATCACGTGCGGGTGTGCTTGTCCTCAGCATGGACCCGCCAGTTCAACTTAGTGGAGCCGGTACATAAGTTCGTCCTCAGAACTGACACGTGCTGGCTCCGGTACCAACCTTATGCCCTACACGACTTCCTGATCGGATGGACCCGCCAGTTCGACTTATGGAGCCGGTACATAAGTTCGTCCTCAGAACCGACACGTGCCGGCTCCGGTACCAACCTTATGCCCTACACGACTTCCTGATCGGAGTGGGAGCA